TAATCTCATATCACGAACCGATCTTCTTGAATTGAAGTGAACATGTTTGCATCACAATACCGAGTATAATCGGCGTGAAGTAACCGTTTCCTTTGTCGTACTTCGGTTGAAATATATGCATGTCTGGCGCTTGTTAAGGCCATACGGGTTTTTAAATGGCCTAAAGGAACGTTGCGTTTTTGAATATGCATACCATGCCAATACTAGAACAACGTTTTTTTTAGTTTAAGAATCCCAAAATTGATGTCAAATCAAAAATTTCTATTTGTAACTATCAATTTTGAAGTAGTGCACTAATATACTTGATTGTTAGTTCTTTTACCCTTATTAACTGACTTCAAAAAAGGAGGAGGTTCTCAATTCGACTGTGTTTTGTGTGTGTGTATGTTATGCGATTACTACGGTATTTGTGAACCGATTTTGATAATTTTTATTTTGTTGGAAAGAAGGTAACTTAGTATTGGTCTCGTTAAATTTTGAAGAAAATATTCCACCTCTAAGAGGAGCAAACTAGGAGGCTTCACGCACTTTCCGGTAACCGATTGTTAACTTTTTAGTTGCAGTTTGAATGTACATCTAAGCAAAGTTTGAAGTCGATTCGTTTTGTTTTTATTAAAAATTATAGTTGTTATGATACTACGTGACCGGACAAACAAGTTGTGCGCGGTAAGTTGTGAGTGGTAAGTGGTAAGTTGCAGTGCCACTCAATGCTTTAAATCACAAACATCTGAGTCACCCTAAGACATAAGTTGACAAGTCGCAGTAATCTGCCGACGTTAGATAAAAGGGTGCATGTGACATTTTTTCAAAAAAATTGTTTGTATATTGCCGTGAATAGTAAAAAAGGCCGATCTCTCACTATTTTATTTTTTTCCTAGGTGGATAAGGTATGTGAAAGTTACCACAAGAAAAAAGTACATATATTTTAAATTTCACATCTTTAAACATTATTTTCTCGAATTTGGTGGTAGAAATAGATAAGGTGGCAGTAATTCCCTGGACGAACTCTTTCACAAGGAGTTTTACTGCTAAAAGATCTTTAAACTTAAGAACGGGAAGCTTTACACATTATTTATATCACTGTCGTTGTGAGTGCAAAACCTATCACGCGTCCTAATTACACACGGTGTCCCTAATGATTTTTCTTTAAGAAAACAAAATAGAAATTTTTATATTTTTTTATAAATTATTATTTTTTTAATTATAATTGAAAACACAGCTGCTCGGTAGAGACATCATGTGGCTCTAATGTGCACTCTTGAATTAAACTTATGTACTAAACTTAAACCAATGCTTGCAATACAAAAGACACTCTTAGTACATTGCATATCAATTTAAGCATGCAAGCTTAGACGCGTGACAGATCAAAACAGGAACGCAATAATGCTCATATCATTGCATGGCGGCACAAATAGGTAAGATGGCAGTATTTCGCTATGGGAACACTTTCACAAGAAGCTGTTGCTGCAAAAAATACTAAAATAAGAAAATACTAAGAACATTTACTACATCTGTACCTGAGAAACACATTTATATAGTAGTAATATTTTTCACGATAGCAATGTCTTTATCAAACTAAATATGGAAGTGTAACAAATTGCGTATCATATTGCCGTGGAGATCTGAGAAATTGTCTACCATTTTTGGTGCTCTTTTGAAAATAATGTTCCATAAAGGACTTAATGCTATTGTCGAATTTAGAAATGGAAAGATGTTGAAACACTTTCTTTCATAAATAAAATGTCGATATGCTTTCCAAATTTATTTCGACAACCTCAGTGGCCGAACGGTTTGCATAGTGTAAGATGGATCTAGATCTCTCATTTTCTAAATTGGTTGTGAACATGTTCTTTCTAATACAGGGAATTCCCTAGTTTCAGACCGTATTTGGTGTGATCGTTTTTAAAGAATAGAAATAAAGTGATAATAAGTTTTTGCTGTTAACACTGGGAAGTGTAAACAATTTTACACAATATTATATACCATGTTAAAAAACCGCGCCCATAATGACCGCATCATTAGTCAGACTCGTGATCAAAATATCACATATATTTTTTTTTAAATAAACCGATAATTTTTGTTTCTAACATCACAAACACTTTGAAGTGTAATTAATTTACGAAATCAATATTTATTTACTTTTTGTTCAATTGACTTCATCATGGCCATTGTTTTTTAGGTCCATATTTTGTAATTTTATAAATATATATCTACGAACAATAAAATACAAACCCTCTGAAAATAGGTAATTTTTAAACTAACTATTAGGGAAATATTTTTAATCACATTATGATTTGTTAAGGAAACGTTAAAAAATAGAAAATTAAATCCGTTAATCCACGAAATTAAAATTAAACGTCAGAAGAAGGAAAACGGGTGATTAATTTTCACCGGCAGTAACCAGCAATTTTCGCTGCGCACGCGTTGAAAAAACGTAGTAACGCGGTTGCGCAAAAAAACCCCTCGTTATAATTACACCACACTATCGCAATTGTATTATTTTCGCGCACTATTGCAAAAGTAAGTAGTACGATTCCCAAATTATTTAATAGATTAATTTTAAAGTTCTATTGTGAAACACCTAGTTGCTTTTTTAAAATTTATTAATAGAACGATATATCATTTTATAAATGCATTCTTAGAACTGAAGCAAAAATTAAAGCACTATCAGCCATTTAATTGTTTTACATTACTAAATTGTTTAATAGCTCTATTTTAAAGTTCTATTTCGAACTTTATACACCAATAGTTATTTTTTAAAATTTGTTATTTGAAATGTAATTTTATAACTGCATTAAACTGTACCACAAAATAAGGCTCGTTTTCTACCTTAAGCGTTAACATTGGTTTTTTACTGTCTGTGTAGCCGAACGGTTACCATTCTAATGCATGCCGGAGCCGGGAGAAATATTGTATGGCCTACGTTTATTTATCTCGTGAGTATGAGAGTTGAGTCTTTTCCCAGTTAGTGCAGAGAGGTCAGTCATGAAATGAATATTTGTTTGACTTCCACTTATCTAATCGCGTTGAATTTTTTTTTATAGCATCAAGTGACGGGACGAATAAGTCGTGCGCCTGATGGTAAGCTACATGCCTGTCCATAACAGTAGCAGTGCCACTCACAGCTTTCAATTGCAAAGATCTGAGGGGCACTACCCCTGCGCCCGTCACCCTGAGACATAAGTTAATAAGTCCCATGTGCCTGTAATTTCACCAGCACCCTTACCATTCAAAACCGGAACACAGTAATGCTGACATTACTGCTTTACGGCAGAAGTAGGTAATGTGGCAGTACTACCTGGACGAACTCTTTTTTGATATACTCTGAAAATTTGATGACATTCCAATAATATGACAAACCTTGACATGATGCTGCTGCCAGTACAATCTACAGAACAATCTTATTTGAGCTTATTGAATTTGTATCGACGAGTAGTTGGCTTACCGGTGATGGACATTTTAGAATACACTTTTTTGTATCGGAATTTTTAAAATTAATTTTTTTTATCGTAGCTGACGGAGGTCCATAATCCCTGTCTATTCCATTGGGAGACACGCGTCATAATACATACGTATCTATGTATTATGTATGTATACATATAACTCCTATAATAAAGAATCTACCACAGTTAACAACCGACGAGTAAACGACAGTGGCATTGAAAAAAAACGAAAGCGTATAACAAGTTCAATAAAGTTCTCGCTAACTTACAAATTTTAATATCAAATATATATTAATAGATACACGAAAGTTAAAATATGTGATAATTTATGTAAATTATTAACTTATCGTTTCTATATTTATCATTTGTTTTCAGTCTTTATTATAGAATAAGACAAAGTTTTATATTAGCCACGGGTCTATTGACAATGAAGAAATAAGTCCTTATAACTAAGAATGTTCTAAGTTTTTATTTAGTTTAAATTTTTTACGTTTAAGCTAGATGCCAAACCCAAAACACTTTTCTTTTTTTATTTCTTTACAATAGTACATTTTAAACGTCTCTATAAAAAATATTATTGTCGCCACACTCTGTCCATATATATTTCATTTATTTTAAATTTGTCATATTATAATGTTGGTTTTTGTTTTGATGACCACATTACAAATAGTACAAATAAATCTGACAGGTTTATTTATGCCAATACTACTCTTATAAATTTAACATTAACACGTGAACTTATAAATAGCTTTCTAATTGTCTTTCTCTTCGAATATCTTTATTTATTAATCGATGTAATTATATTGTAGCAAAAAATATGTCGTTATGAAAAAATTTACACTCTTAACACCATCCTGTAGTAAAATTTTACCATTGCATTATACGAATTTCCTTTTTAATTATCTATCTAGCTATCACAACTTTTCGTTTGCAATATGCAATAACAAGAAACAACCAAACATAAACTCTCGTTTTCTATTTACGCAGTCGGTTAAACAACTAGTTAGAAATGAGGTGTTTGCTAATGGAACCGGTATAAAGTATGCAAACTATAAAAAAATGCACAAAGTCGATCACATTACGCAAGATGAAAGAAGAAAGTAGAGACAGCAAATTGGAATCGAAATTATTTTCATTCATTTTTTAATTAAGGAATTTTTGCTATTGTTCTACTAAAAGCATCAAAATTACTCAATTGGAGTAAATAAAAAAATACGTAGATTGATTTAAATCAGAACTCAATCGTGTACAAGCATATTTTATTTACGTCGATGTTTCAGGAGTGTTGCATGCTCCTTGATCTCGAAAGGAGTCCACGATCAAGTCCCGATTTTAAAATCAGATCTCTTAAATGTAGTCACCTCTAAAATTATCATTCCTATCAAAATACACTCTACATATAATACTCTTTTTAAAAATTGCAGCAACCTATCAAAGCACATGTTGCGTGTACTTGTAGTAAACAAATGACTTAACAATTCCTTCGCAATTTATTTTCACAATCCCTTTCAACCCCCTAAATTAAACTCTGTACTCACGTAAAGGCAATTGTCTTACCTGATAAAAGAGCGGTTAACACCAGCGCCGCGGCGCTGAAAGACCTCATGTTTGTTTTCATCACACGTTGCAGTACTAGAATTAACACGTTCACTACACTTCACTTCACCACCGATGCATAGTACGGCCGACGCGCGAGAGCTCAGCGCGCGTGCGCATGAATGCCAAGCCGAGAGAACTGCGCGCGCGACTGTCGTTGTGGTGGGGCTAGGAAGCGGGTGAAATGTCAGGGATTACTGAAGGGCAGTTTGGTTTCAAACAATTGGAAAAGTTGGGCGTTAAGAATATTTACCGTGACCAGTGGTCTGTAGGCCGAAAAAAAGTGTAATCAAGCGAGTAATTATGTCAGTAAAGCTGGTCAACAGACATTAGAACCTTTAAAATTAGGGTCCACTGAAAATCAGCGTCACAGTGTTTATTCGGTTGTGACATTAGTTGAGTGGATCCTTTTACATACGCCATAGCCGAACATGTGACATTGATTCAAATTGAGAAGACTGTTTTAAAATTGGAAAATATTTGCTTCATTTTTTTTTTGTTTTTTTTGTTATTTTATTTTTTGTGTTACTTTTGCTTTGTCTTTTTTTATTTTATTCTGTATATATATTTTTGTGTTGTGGTGTGGTAATTCTGGGAATACAATGATGTGGGAATTCTTTTCTAGGCTATTTTATTGAATATCAATATTCGTCTTCAGTTCATTATACGTCTCACTGCTGGACACGGGTTTCCTCTAAGGACAAGGCTTAGGGTTTAGGGATCACAGTGGCACAATGCAACGTTTTCCACGGGTTGTGAACCTTGAATATTGCTGCTAAACATTTACAAACGTACGTAACTTAAAAACGAGTGCGGTCGTAGCTTAGTGCTTGTTTAACGTTTGCTCGTCAGTTGAAAGATCAACAATAACAGTTCTAATCAAAAAATATTTTTTATAATCCTATTATTTTGTCGTAAAATGTCAAAAGAATGATAAGAATGAAAAAGACGTCACTATTATTTAATTTAAAATAAATGAATTTGACTTATGTGTTTTAGTTGGTCGATGTGTTGATTTAAATAAATGATGGTGATTTTTTACTTAATGCATACCGGCTAAGTAAAGAATAAAAAAATATTATTTCAGTCCTTAAGCGTAAAATGTTAAAACTTGTAATAATCGTTTCATTTGCTTGCTGGCTATTACTATTTTGTAAGTACATAAAGAGAAATAAATATAATAATTATTATAAAGAAGTTCTATGGCCGCAGTCGGTCAAACGGTCTCGTTGAAATCTTTTGCATGAAAGCACAAAGTTCTATGATTTTACGTAAGTCAGAGTTGACTATAATTTAGCACAATTTCTTTATGTTTCATTGCTTCACAATAGATTTTTAACATTGAATTTGTTTTGTTTATAATCGTTAGCTGAAGAAATATGATATACGTATCTCAGTTCACTGTCCTGTACAGTAAAAAAAAATACTGTACACTACCACATAGGTAGCAGTACTACGCACAACAATGCACCTGCATTAAATTGCATTTTTAATCTAAAGTACACTATGACACGTACGTGACTATGAAATTATGTTAAAATGCAGTACTATTTCATAGTACTAGTAGTAGTTATACTATTTTCTACTTACTTTAGAGGACATATTGCGAAGCGTAGTGAGGACAGATTGAGTAAAAATTGACAATCAAATGGTGGCCGAGAAGTGTAACAGAAACGTGTGACGTTCTGCTACAAGACAGGTAGATGACAGTCGAGGCCACCAGCCATAGATGAGTGAGTTTAGCGTAAATTCGTAAGTGGAGAGTGAAGACGGGTTGTGGATGATGATGATTAGAAAATAGTGTAGCGCATCATTGGGAAACCGTAATTGAATTGTTTGTGTTAAAAAAAAATCGAAATTGAAATGATTGTATAGGTAAAAAAAAGGTCAAAGTGTAAACGTCACTTTGTTGAACTACAAAAAATGCCATATTATATTATAATTTTGACTCACAGCATAGCTCTTCGCAACTTTCTTATTATACCATTTTGATAAGAAAGATACTTTTTTTTATCATGCCAGGTGACGGGGCGAACGAGTCGAGCGCCTAGTGGTAAGCAACGCGCATGTCCATAACAGTTGCAGTGCCACGCTAAGCTTTAAATCGCAACGATCTGAGAGGTACTGCTACTACGCCCATCACCCTGAGACATAGGTTGAAAAATCTCACGTGCCTGTAATTTCACCAGCACCCTGAAACCTTTTACCCTTTAAAACTGGAAAGCAGTAATGCTCACATTATCATTTGCCGGCAGAAATAGGTGAAGTGGCAATATTCTCCTGGACGAATCTTTCACAAGAAAGTCTGCTACTATAGTCCATTTGTTTATGTACCTAAACTAAATGTAAACAATCTAGATATATCTTTTTACAAATCAATAGGTATAAAAATAGGCATGCAATTTCATATGAAGCTTTGTACTTTGTATTTAATGGTAAGTAAAAATTATTTTATAAATGTATATTTCATTTATCAAGATTTACATTTAGTTAAGTACATGAACAAATAGACTATAATAAAAGTACTTTTCATATAACTCACTGTTCATTCAAAATACGCATTTCACATAAACATTACGTTATAGGCGACTGTCGCCGCAACTTCCTACTAACCGTATTTCCGCTACATTTCCGATGTTTTTAGTCAGCTTATGTACTTCTTGATTACGTCTTTGTGAATGGATAATAATGTCATTAAATAAATGAAGACAGTTCTTCCTTAGCTTGTTGTTTGTTTGACGTAATAAACCCCTAACGAAAAATATTGTACTCCATAAAATGATCATCCATCATCATCGGGGGTGGAGACCTGGTTACCTGAGATACAGGTTCTCCTAGTTCAAGGACCAGCCTCCACAACCAGATTATATTTTGATGTTATGTAAAGCATCTATTTTTATTTTTACAAGCACAGTTTGTGGAGACAATAAATGATTTATTATTTATTTTATTTATTTATCCATAATTATTTCGTTTTTAATTCGAGACTTAATCACGTATAAAACATATTTTAATTACCTCGACGTTTCGGACGTATTATTATATAAGCAATAACAATATAATAAGAAAAACAATTAAAAATCAAATAATCTGTGAAAATCGTGAAAGTTTAAATCATCCATAAGTTAACAAAATTTAATGTGTACCAACACGATAGTTTTATTGTGAGAAGTTGAGGAGTTTGATAGTCTGTAGACTGTCCGATGAAGGTTACCATATTATTGCAATGGCATCGGATTTTCATAGTACAACAAATGTCTATTCAGTAGCTTCTATAATTAATTAATATTCTATAGCTCGTAGAACTGACAGCCGTTGGGGCAGAGAGGTTCTCGAATGGAGACCACGAACCGGAAGGCGTTCAGTGGGACGGCCCCCTACTAGATAGACGGATGACCTGGTGAGGGCGGCGGGTAACCAATAAACGCACGGCACGTTCAATCGACTGGTCTGGAAAACTTTGGGGAGAAATATATTCAGCAGTGGACTTGGATGAACAAATTTCAAGTCAATAGGACAAGTGGAAGTAAAATAAATATTTATTTTTAACCGACTTCAAAAAAAGGAGAAGCTTCTCAATTCGACTGTATTTTTTTGTATGTATGTTACGCGATTTTGATGATTATTTTTTGTTGAAAAGTGGGTACCTCAGTAATAGTCTCATTTAAATTTGAAGGAAATATTCTACCTGTAAAAAGAGCTGATGATCTTTAAACAATTGAACAAATATTAGAACAGAATACAGATATACACATTGACTTACAAATAAATGGACGACGGGTCTAATACAAAAACCACGAAAAAAATGTCCCAAGTCAACGTATTTAAACGTAGTGACATGTAAAGGAATATGAAAAAGCTAAAACGTTGAATTTAAATTGTAATTACTGTCTAATTTTGCTTGCTTCGCTGTCAGTCGAGCAAACGAAAACTAAAGCGTGAATGACGCTCTGTATACGATTTTAATGCCCTATAAGTTCGGACACTTTAGAGCGGATCCGACGTCCATATAATTGTAAGACAATGGATATAGGTACAGAAAGAATTAAAAGAAAACAAAGCAAAAGTAATTAAATTTAAAAAAAAACAACGAAGTAAACAAACCATTATTTCAGATCTGAATCGCGTATATTTGTTTTCTTTTTTGTTTTCAAAGAAACCAACATTTCGGGCACTTCCAGGCCCCATAGTCATGGCTAACTGATGATGGTCAGTCATCCGAAAAAATATTTCATTTCTTATGTATAACAATGGCGAAAACCAAACCCGATAAAAATTGTCATAATATTTTTCTCGCTCGTAACCGAGTTACACGGTGAGCAGGTCACTCGTGTATGAACTTACACTAATTAGTATCTACCTACACGCTTAGCCTGTTTGAAGAAGAGGTAGAGAGACGAGCCAGTCGAGAACAATAAAGATTTTTTGTGATGTTTTCATGATACCACGTTACGGGACGAATAAGTCATACACCTGGCAATAAGCAACACTCCTGTCCAAAACAGTTCCAGTGTCACTCAGAGTTTTAAATGGCAACGATCTAAGAGATACTGCCACTGCGCCAGTCACCCTGAGACATAAGTTAACAAGTCCCGTGTGCCTATAATTTCACCAACCTTGTTCTTCAAAAGTAAATATAATGGGTGTTATGGGGATTGGGTATATCGAATACGAGTAACTGTGAAGAATGGACGAAGAAAAGAAAGACCACCACTCAGCAGTGGACAGTACCGGTTATTAAAAATATCTATACACAATATGTTTTTCTAAAATCCAAACATCCGGGTCATTCAAGCTTTATAGAACTAGACGATTGCATTGTTACCCTATTTCTTTCTAATGTATTTTATAACAATATACCTTTTTCACTCATCCGGTAATTCAAATATAGATTGTCACTACGTGAACCGAAAGTTAACCTTATAATTGAACAGCTAAGATAATCTTTTGATTGCTGTAGCGAACCATGAGATTTAAGTTACTACAATCGAGAACTTCCGTAAAACGCGAATGACTCCGAAACTTGGACTTT